CCTCTTATAAGGGTAACTACCCACTTGGAACTGTCCTTGATTATGTAGGGGTACATAAGGTTTAGGGTGTAGGAATTCGGGTTTCCCAAAATTAGGGGTACCACTTCGGGGGTCCGGATTTTGATAGCAAAGCATTTTGGGGGGTCTAAATTTTTCGAGGTTTGTAAAAACAAGGGAACCCTAAACCTGAAGACCCAAAAATGAGGGTCCCCCCCTATTCATGAACCTACCACCTGCATTTGTCGGAGCTCGGGATCGGGACTATCCTCGCCGACCCACCTCAGCACAATTGTAGGATTGAAGGTTTAGGTTTTGGGTTTGGGGATTCGAGTTTGGGAATTGAAGTTTAGGGCGTATAGGTTTAAGGGCTTCGAGTTTAGGGATTGAGGTTTAGGGCGTATAGGGTTTAAGGGATTCGAATTGGGGGATAGGGGTTTAGAGAGTATACGGTTTAGGGATTCGAGTTTAGGGTTCAGGGTTTAGCGTGGACTTTGAGCATTCTCAAACGATTTCAGGTTTCGGGTATGAGGCCTGCAGGGTTTAAGTTTAGGGCCTTTTGTACGGTTTTCTGGATGTAGGGTCTATAGGGTGTATGACCCCTAGAAGAGTTGACGGCATCATCATCTGTAAGCAGTACTCTTTTTGGGGCTTTGAAAAGCTTTGCTGTTAATTGTCATGGTTGACTGAGTTGGGATGTCGTCCCATGCCCCTGTAAGGAATATCTTTGCAGCTTCGTTTTGTTGCAGGAGGTCTTAATTACCTTCCTGGGTCTGAGTTGCTACTGCCGGGCTCCAAAAGGTTAGACACCTAACTTAATCAAAGGCTCCAGCCCGGGTAGTTTGACTTTGCTATTCTACAGGAAAGGAGAGCTGTTTGTTTAAAGCTGGGTTGCTGTTAAGGAACTGAAACTCAGTTACCATACCATGGCATATTGCAAACAATAGGGTGTGCCTATTACAGTAGAATAACTGAAGTTCTTGAACCGCAACCCAGATTCTACAGGAAGGGCATCAAGAGATAGGGCTTATTCAGACGAAACGATTTTCAATAGCCTGGTAGGACCTACTCAGCCGTTGCCAGTCACTAGGTCTTGGACAGTTCTTGTTGGGGTAGCCTGCCTGAGACACCAAATGCACATACTCATTTCCTTACGCTGCTTCTAGCTAATTGAGCTAGTCTAAACTCCTAGTATCTCCCTTAATAGTGCCTTTAATAATCCCCTAATAGGAGTTTAGACCATAGCTCAATTAGGTTAGCGACAGCCCTTCGACAACCCTTCTTGCTAAGCCCTAAGAGCTTCGAAGATACCTGTTTGGGAAAGTAAGGCCTCGAAATTCTTGTAACCTTTAACCCCAACATGCACCTAGTAGAATGTAGTAGTTCCGATTTCTTTTCCTTTATCCCCATGTGAGCTATCGTCTAAACTCCTAGTATACCCCTTAATAACCCCTATAGTAATCCCCTATATAATCCCCTTTAAGGATTTTAGACTATGGCTCATGTAACCCCAAGATATTCCCTACTAGCTTGCACCATGATTGCCAGGCTGCTGATGTGATACAAATGCCGCCTTCCCCAGGCGCCTCTCATACTGGACCACAACTCCTTGCTCCTGGAGGCGGCTGAAGTCTTCTGATTAAGGATTTCACGTTCAGGGGTCAGGGTTTAGTTTCTAGTCCCCCTTAAGTAGATAGAATATGGAGTCGGGTATATTATAATCAGATCCCCATATACCCTCATATTCCATCTACTCAAGGGGGACTATAGGAGTTACCTGGACCTCTGGCCGTGCCTTGGGTCTGGTATGGCATGGAAATCAGGACAAACCCTAATGCCCTAAAAGCCGAAACCCTCTAGAGCGTTTTGGAATTGGTGTAATTGCTGAGAGGATTGTTGCGGGCCCCAGCCAGCTGTTCGCGGTGCTTTAGGTGCCGGAATGTATGCCGGGGGGCCCCAAATTAGCAAGCGGAACAAGCTCCCCTGCAGACAGGAACGATGACAGCAGCCCGAGACACATCTAATAGTTTTTTTTGTTGAGTGAGTCTTGCTGCTGACTCGTTTAACATCCAGATGGCGTGGGACCTGGGACCAGGCGCCACTGCCCACATAACCACATATTCAAAGAAGAATGATTTTTATGAAGCTCTTGAGCCGAGTTTTGAGACAACATGTGAACTGCCAAGCTCACGTGGGAGCTGTTGCCTCTGTATTGCTCCCTTGTCTAGATTGGCACCCATAGCCTTCCAGCATCTCGCAGAGATGGCAGCTTTCTAAACGAAGGGTGTGTGTGTGTGTGTGTTGACATTTTCTTTCCAACGTAGGTATTCTTCATGGGCTTGGACCCCCGCGGTAAAGGATCCCCATCTTCAGAAAGTGTGAATGCTTTACCTTACAGGGAGGGGCCTTGAAATACACCAAGTAAGAAATAGTTGATTTGTCCTACCTGAAGGAGACTTCTCCGTACATTTTTCGCGCATTCCTGCTTCCTCACTTTAACAGCAGGTCCTCAACCCTAAAGCTGAAAAAATTGGCTGCTTTGCTGTTACTTCGGAAGCTCCTCGCAGGCTCTTTCCGTCAAAGTGAAGCCCTCTAAACCCTATAATCCCTATATCCCCCTTGGGTAGACACAACATGAAATTCGCATCATAATGAGATCCCCGAAAATCCGTATCTACTGAACCCTAATCCCTGAGCCCACTGTAAACACTAAACCCTACACCCCTTACCCTGAGCCCTAAACCAGGGGACTGGGGACCACCCAATAAACCCTAAACCCTAACCCCTAACCCCTAAACCCCAAATCCTAACCCCTAAACCCTAACCCTAAGTGTACTGCCAGGGGGACTTAGTCATTAGGTTAATGATCCCTCT